CCTGCCCCACTAACACCTAGCTTTAAGGGAAGGCTTTTGGATGGTCACTGAAAACACAAGATGCTCTCAGATGGGTCCATCCCTTCTTATCTCAAGCAGTGGAGGAGAAGCATCTGATGCTTCTGCTCGAATTGGCCACCTGGCATAACAGCCTGTCGCGGCATGGCGATTGCCAAATCTGTTAAGGTGCGTAAAGCCTCCACCCTGCCAGTTCAGAGTGGTGAGTGGGAAAGAAGACAGATTACAGGGTGAGTGTATGTTAAATATATGCAGAATTTAAACAGTTCTATGGATAAGAGAATAAAAAATAGTCTGAACACATTTATCATAGTGTTTTGTTTCGCTCATTCCAATGAGTAAATCTGCGCTTAAAGCTTTTGTTTTTAACTGTTGGGTAAAGCCCTTTTAATGAGTGAATAATAAATTCAGAGTACACGTTTAGGAAATAGTCAAGTAATGATCCCCGCTTTGTCGAGATACTTGTTGATGTGCTAACTAAATAGATGTGTGTTTACATTTCTTGTCTATCCTCTGGGGCCATGACCATATCTCTTAAGTTTACAAGTAGGTGAACTTAAGTTACAAATCTGCTAAAGAGGCCTCAACAGTAGTTACTTCAAGAAGACCATTTCTGGAAACATGCTTTTATTCACGCAGCTGAAAACTTGTATTTATATATCTCTCTGTGGAGTATGACTTTTCTTTTAGATCAGATGACTGTTCCACATTTATTGATTTTCCATCCCAAGGTTTCATTGAACACGTATGAAAAATGGCAAGCTGGCTGTTCATATGTTGACTCGGGTAGCACCAACATATAAAAAACCTTGTGCAGCGTCAAATAATGGTGGTCTTTTCTGGATGACATCGAGTGACTCAGAATATCAAATAAGTTCATTCTAAAATTGTTTTTATTTTTTTATCCAATATATGGAGCCAAAATAAAGCTTTTGCTAGTTAGTTTTACCAATGACGAAATCTCTGACATCAGGAATGCCATTGTAAACTTAGTTGAAACACTGAGCATTGGGGCTTATTGAATTTGGTAGCGACAATATGAATGCAAACTTTGATGAAGGACAGCATCATGGCCAATAAGATATTCTTGCAAAATGAGGGAATCTGTGAGACAGAAATGTACTTGGGATCGGCCGCAGTGCCCTGATTTTCCATGATTGTGTACAGACAAGTGATAATGTGCCATCGATTGAATTAGAAGCTGTAGTGTCCACATTTATCAGTATTTTTTTTAATGTTTACTCTTGAGAGAGAGAGAGAGAGAGAGAGAGAGAGAGAGAGAGCATTAGCGGGGGAAGGGCAGAGCTAGAGAGAGAGAGACATAGAACCTGAAGCAGGCTCCAGGTTCCGAGCCATCAGCACAGATCCCCAGGCGGAGCTCGAACTCACAAGCCATGAGATCATGACCTGAGCCGAAGTCAGATGCTTAACCAACTGAGCCACCCAGGCGCCCCTATAAATATTTTTATATATACGGTGTTGAGTAGCAACAACAGAGTTTTTCATGACAAGGATATGTCAGATATAAAAAGTGTACTTCAGTGTGGCAATGTGCACTCTGTTTTTGCTGTTGATCATCAATCTGATTTTAGGAATCCTTGAACCTGTAAAGAGCTCTTAGTCAACCTACACATTTTCCAGAGCTATTGAACTCTTGTGCAAAAAGAAATCTCTACAGTTTTTGTTGAATCTGGGTCATAATCAGTTGGCAATTTTTAATCGAAATCTTCAATGATTGAATGGCAAGTCACTTCATCTCTGAAAGCTGCTAGTGAGTGGAAGTGAATTTTTTAAAAAGCTAGCAAAAAAGACACTGCCATTTTTTTTAAATTTTTTCTTACAAGAACAAGGAATATTTGCCAGAAAGTAATCGATGAGGTCAAATGCTTTGTGCTATTCGGTGTTTAAATTCTGAAGTTTTCCTTAGAGATGTCTCAATTTGTGGGAAAAAAAATCTTTTGATGTTTAATAGAATAAATATTTATCTTACCAAAGAATGGAGGGAAATTGGGAAGCCACTTATTTTTCAGTATGCGTTTTGTTAAACATTGAGAAGAATCATGGAGACAATTTACTTGAAGTTTTATCTTGAAAAGATGTTTGACAGAGAATGTTCATACGAACGGATATAAAATATTTGGGCTGAAATATATGCAGATCTCAATACTTAAAAATTAAAATTGATAATGATTTTCTCCATGTAACACATTTTTTGGTGTGAGATTTCAAGGTACCTCAGCGCCTGTAGAGAGAGTATTGTTGTAATTAAAATTATGATCCACAGTAGAGTCAATTAAAGGTGTCAATTTAATGGCTGTTAAGTGCAACTCTGAAGATGATTAAGAACAATTTTACGAAATATATAAAAAGATGGCATTAAAAAGTACATTCTTTTGACAAGTACCCTGACCTGGGACTATAAATAGATATAACCAGGAAACCAGTTACATATATGAATGTGTAGCACAAATAATCATTTTTTATGTATCATTTAAAAATGTTCAGATAACATAAGTACATTGCTTTTAATGTACAAAATACGCTTTTTAAAATATTTGAAGGACTGTATTTATAAGAATAAAATGGAATAGTTATGTGGGTCCATCAATATGATAAAACCAAGTCGACGGTTGATAAGTATTTCAAAGATGATATAATTCTGATTACTTTTAAAAGTATACAGATTTGGTTGATAAATTACTCTCCTTTTAGCTGAGACATGGTGGGACTCTTTAACCTTGTCTTCGAATATTAAATAGGCAAACTAAAACATCGGATTCGTGAAAACGTAAAAGGACGTTGTGACAATCATTTGTTATTTGGGTTTACTAACTTCTACTTTCTTCATAACCGGAATCTCATCATTTAGGTTTTTCGGAGGGAGGGGAGAAACAAAGAACAGTCAACTGAACTTAGGACACTTTTATGAAGTTGAGCCGCATGGAAATTTGAATCCTTTTCCAAGAAATTGTTTTGACCCAAAGCCTATGCTGCTGAAAAGAGGAAGCTACTTTTGCCCTTTGGGTCCGATTCCCTGGTGCTTTCAAATCCTTCTTTGTAAACACGAATACTTGTGTAGCAGACAGAGATGGGTTTTCACCATTGTGCCCGTTAATAGATGTTGTGGATTGCTGAGCATAAATTAGGTTGCTCTGGCAACATATCTAATTTTTAATGCAAGCTGCTTGAAGAATTAGAGAGTAAGGGAAATAAGGAATTTAAAGAGGGGATGAAAAAAGGAAAAATGTCTTGCAAGTCTGATGTACCGAGAGGACACGAGCCCACCTTCTTCTTCTATACAGAATTCTCGGATTAAGGAGGTCAGCCCAGATGGTAAGAGATTCTTCAAACCATCCCGGCACCACCCCCTTACCATAGAGGGGCTGACAGTGGTACATTCTCACCTCTGCCCTCTGTGTGGTTCTGTTTTGGCCACACGTGGCTTCAGAAACCAGGACAGGTGCAAGAAGGGAAGTGCTTTTTGACATTTCTGCCACATTGGTGCTTTCACCCGCCATCTCTAACTGGGTGGTGGGTTCTCTCTTCCCACCCAAATTGTGTCCAGTTTGATGGAAAAGAGAATACAAGAGGAGAGCGAAATATTTTCTTTCACTTCAGAGAAGGTTATTCTTAAAATGGTCTCTTCAATTTAGAAGGTTTTGCTCCATAATTTCGCAGAATTCTAACTCCAGTAGAATTCTAGATAGAGAGAAATGAAAAGCTTTGTTAGATTTATCTGAGGTTTTGCGTTAGATGTAGTGGCTGCAGTGACCCTGATAGGCAAAAGCCAAGAGGTAAATCCCGGTCACGATAGAGTTCCCAGGAAGCTAGATTATAATATCAGAAAATAAGAGATTGTGTAAAAATACCACTGTTTAGACACTAGTCTTTTCTCCAACATTTGAGTAATTTCCAAATTCTTTTTGTAAGCATTAACTGCCTAACATGGTAAAACACATTTGAGATTTTCTTTTTTTTATTAAAAAAATTTTTTAACGTTTATTTATTTTTGATGGAGAGAAAGAAAGAGAGAGCGTGAGTGGGGGAGGGGCAGAGAAAGAGGGAGACACAGAATCTGAAATGGGCTCCAAGCTCTGAGCTGTCAGCACAAAGCCCGATGCGGGGCCCGAACTCCCGAACTTCGAGATCGTGGCCTGAGCCCAAGTCTGACGCTTAACTGAAGTCTGACCTGAGGCACCCAGGTCTTGAGATTTTCTAGAAGCAAAGTAAGGATACTATTCTTAGAAGGCTGAATTCTGTTTCACGTGAAGGACGGGAGGCTGGGGAAGATGAACTTGTATTTGCTTCTAATTCTATAAAGGAAAAGCCAGTCGATCATTGGGCAGCCTCCACAGGGATAACCTGTGTAGGATGCAGTCTCTGGCAGTGACTTTGTGTGCCTCCAGCGGCCTATTGTGTTTCTGGGGCAGTTGCCAAAGGATGACTGAAATGTTCATCGGATTTACAGTGGGTTTAAAACACAACAAAAAATGTAATAGAGTTTGACAAAGAAGCCGCAGGAGTAGGAGACGCATCATCGTCTGGAGTTCTCATATACCATGTTGTCACCTGCTGAAAATGTTTCTGAAGGATTGTGAGGGGACATGGGGAAGGGGAGCTGGCAGGTGAGCTTGTGAAGCCAGACAGGACGTCGGGCTCAGCCAAATGGAAGGAGCTGCGAGTTCTCTGGCAGAAACAGCAGCTTCCACAGAGAAATGAAGCTCTTGGTTCTGTGGAGTTTCCACACAACATGGCCTCATACTGAGGTAGCAACTGAGGCACGCTGTGAATGGTTGTATCTGAATGAGTGGGCAGTAGTTCCTTGGAGTCAATAAATATTTAAGTTGTGAACGATAGGATTCCTCCCTTGGAGTCACTCTGTGGATGAGTACCTTGTTATTGTAACACAGCATAGAGATTTCTGTTGTGGGACAATAAAAATAGAACGTGACCAAGTTAAGTCTTGCCTTTATGTTTCCTAGGAATCCGAGAAAAAGGGGTTAATTGAAAGAATCTATATGGTACAGGATATTGTTTCAACTGTTCAAAACATCTTGGAGGAAATAGCTTCTTTTGGAGAAAGAATTAAAAAGTAAGTTCTACGTTCGTGCTGTGTTTGAAATGGAGCTGCCATCCATAAGGACGGTGGGGGTAAGACGGCCGGGGGGGGGGGATCAATAAATGCAAAAAACAAAAAACAAAAGGTAACAGTGTTTGGGGCAAGTCCTATTTATGTTTGTTGGTTTGTTCTTTGGGCTTGTCCGCTTTACAGTTGGGCAGTGCTTCCGAACTGGGGTGACGATATGGCCAATTCACACCAATTGCCCTGCCATGATTATCTCCCTCTCAAAATATCTTGGTTTGGGTGATAAATTAAAGATTTTTTTTTTTTATTAAAAAAATTTTTTTTTTAATGTTTATTTATTTATTTATTTATTTAAATTTTTTTTTCAACGTTTATTTATTTTTGGGACAGAGAGAGACAGAGCATGAACGGGCGAGGGGCAGAGAGAGAGGGAGACACAGAATCGGAAACAGGCTCCAGGCTCTGAGCCATCAGCCCAGAGCCCGACGCGGGGCTCGAACTCACGGACCGTGAGATCGTGACCTGGCTGAAGTCGGACGCTTAACCGACTGCGCCACCCAGGCACCCCAAATGTTTATTTATTTTTGAGACAGAGAGACAGAGCATGAATGGGGGAGGGTCAGAGAGAGAGGAAGACACAGATTCCGAAGCAGGCTCCAGGCTCCGAGCCATCAGCACAAAGCCCGACGTGGGGCTCAAACCCATGGACCATGAGATCACGACCTGAGCCGAAGTCGGACGCTTAACCGACTGAGCCACCCAGGCGCCCCAACATTTTTTTTTTTTAAAGAAGAGTATCCTAATCAGAAATGAAAAAGGAAGGAAATATGCTCTAAAGTGACCTTTTTCAACGAAAACATAGACCACAGTGAATGCCTTGAGTCATTTTTTTCTCAACGTATCAAAGGGTGGTACGTAGCTGACAGACTTTCTTTATAAGGGGCAATGAGTAAATATTTTCATCTTGGTGGACCGTAACGACTCAATTCTGCTAAGTATGAAATCAGGCATCATTGATACCTAAATGAATGGGTATGAAATGTGTTCTAACAAAACTTTATTTACAAACGCAGGTGGCAGGCCAGAGTTGACTGATATCCAACCCGTAGCTGTCACTTCCTACCTTAGGGCACAAGGACTAAATATCTAATAGAGTCTCAGTTGAGAAAGACTCCTTCTGTGATTCTTGTTTGTTTTGTTTTAAGCATTATGAACTCTGTATAACCTGGTCTTCATTTGGGGCCAATGAACAGAGCAATTTTTAATTTTCTTGGCTTTTAAATTGTAAACTTATTTCCTCTTTTAAATCCAGAATTATGTCAACTGTGTTGTTCTTTCTGAAGATTAATTCTTTTTTCTTATTTTGTTGGCCATTCTAGTTTCTGTAAGCAATGAAGATAATACTTTAGAAATTTCATGGGTAAAGAAGAGATTAAAATTAGTGCTAAAAGCCAAGGGAAAGTTTTATATACCAAGATGCAAGGAAATCACTAAGTTATAATTAGCAGCAGGAAATATAAATAGTTAATATGGAACTCTCTACGGATACTGAACTTTCTCAGTTCCTTGTCCAATTCAGTCGGTCTTGTGTGGCCATTTACTATTGGCACAGTAAGACGTGTTCGTTTTGTTTATAAAATAGGTTATAAATCATCTTTAAACAAATTTGGTAAGTTTTACTGAATTTACATGTTGCTATTCCCATTATCAATGTCTTAGAAGAAAAATTAAAGAGCAGGAAGATTTTTGCTTATATATGTCGGTGCCTACCTGCTTTTTTCCTCTTGATTTTATATAAATTGACAAAAGGTTTCTTAAATTACCCTCAAAGTTGTTTAACAGAAACGTGACAATAGAAAGTAGTCAAATGATGAGGAGGGCATAGTAGTTCTCCCTTCATTCACTTATTAACTCTCAGTTCTAAGTTTCAGGCACTGACCTGGTCTAAGAATGAGAAATATTCCATAAAACCATGATAATAGCAACATCAGCTCACGTCATGTGCTGGCCAGACACTGTTGTAAACTCTTCACACATACTAATTTATTTAAGAAGTTACTGAGAGGAATCAGATTACAGGATTCCAGAAAGCCTATGGATTAAGGATTGTTAATCTACCCATTTTACAGATGAGGAAATGGAATCAGAGAGTGATTAACTCTGTAGCCCAAGGTCACAGAACTAGTAAGTGAAGAAGCTTAAATTAAAAAAAAAAAATTTTTTTTTTTGATATTTATTTACTTTGGGTGGGGGGGCGGTGAGCAGGGGAGGGGCAGAAAGAGAGGGAGATATAGAATCCGAAGCGGGCTCCAGGCTCTGAGCTGTCAGCACAGGGCCCGACCGAGGGCTCGAACTCACGAACCGTGAGATCATGACCTGAGCTGAAGTTGGACGCTCAACTGACTGAGCCACCCAGGTGCCTTGAAGAAGCTTAGATGTTAACCCGCCCGCCTCACTACTACCCTAGAATGTCATTTTCCTCTAAGGAGCTATTTCCCAGTGAGGGAGAATAGTAATAAGACAATTAGAATTCAGTTGCACTGATGTGACATAGCGGTAAGGCAGGCTGTTAGGAGAGATCTGACCAGCCCAGAAAGGGATGTAGGAGAGAGAAAGACCGACAGAGGGTAGTTCTGAAGAAACAATACCTTATCAGCATGTCTGATAATGGAAAGAGACAGTTGAGGAAAGAGTGGAAGAATCAAGAAGTCAGTAAGTGGGAGACTTTGTGCGCAGGTTCAAAGCCCGAGACTGTACTAGATACAGGGAGTGTGTGGGGGCTTAGTATGTCTGTGTGACAGCAGATGGTGGTGGCGGTGCATGGAGGTGAGGCAGATCGTACAGGGCCTTGAGTGGGTGGAAAACAAAAATTGAGTGAGGAACATTCTGGAAGCAAGGAGGATAAGAGGATGTGGAGTGGGGGCAAGACCGAGGAAGGAAGACCGTGTCGTTTGGTAAAATTGTCTCCATGCTCAAAGGTCTCTAACAGACAAATGTGGCTGTTGTGCAGCTGATAATGGTCAAGGAAATGTGTCTGATGAGAGAAGAAGGCAGGGCGATTTAGACAGGCCCCCATCTCTGCAGTGCGTCTGAGGGGCAGCTGTGCCCAGCACAGCTGTGGTGGCCATGTCTGAGATGTATTTTCAGCCATGAACAGAGTACTGTTCTGCCCAGCTGCAGCACAGGAAGGAAGGCTCATGAGGCTCTACTCCTATTAATTCTTTGGCCATTCATTACTACTGTGACCTTAAAGGTCCTACTGGGCATTCAAGTGGGACGGCATGTGTAACTCTGTTGGAATATTCCATTGTAATTCAGTGTTTAAGGACCAAGAAAACTTTTACCCAACTTCTGGCAACTAGTAAATAAGCTTACATAAAACTCTTAGAGCAAGGCTTCCCCATTCCTGACTGGGAAGACCCCATTCATATTTTCTTTTTCTAACTCTTCTCTACTTTCTCTAATTATCTTCCCTAATATTGTACTTGTTTCAAACGTTAGCGTGTAACAGGCTAACACAGTCACTGAACGTGTAGCATCTAGATTATCTCAGACAGCAGGCTGGATGGGTCAGAAGAGTGCTGTATTTTATTTGTCCTGTCATGATGGAGTGTTGGCTTTAACACTTGAATCTTCGCACGGGCAGGGAAATCTCCACAGAGGAGACGATGAGAAACACGTAGGACAGGGAAGCCATCCCTGCAAATGGTCCAGAGTCAGGTTTGGAAGGCACATCCGTAGGAAGTAGAACTTCTGTTAGAAAATGGCGTCGAGAAATACTAAGCAGTGAAGATGAGGAAGGAGGTTAAGGGCAGCTTGAATCAAAGCGAGGGCACGGGGAGCGATAGTCTGATTCAGCCGGTGTTTACTCTGAGAGTGATGTGCTGAAAGGAACAAAGAATGAAGGCAGAAAGACCAAGGAGAGGGCCAGAGGCTAGGTGTGAGGAAAAAGTTCACAAGGGAGGATGAAAACCATGCCTCGTGAATGAAAGCATCGTGTGGGGTACATTACAAAAGAGTAATCTATAGAATTATATGACCAGTCGCTCGTGTTTCCATGCGTAGTAAAGTCAGAAGAATTCATTTGTCCTAGCCTGGTAAATGAGAGAAATAATGGTTCCATGGGCATAAAGGTCAACTATTGGGACACCCAACTGGGGGAAGAAGTACAGGATGGGGCTGGACCCCCCCTTACCAGATGTAGTCAGTCATTTTTGTTTAGTGCTTTGGAACTGGGAAAATGATATTCTTAAGACATATTAGTAAGCCTGAATGATCGAATGAACAAAGAAGATTTTTTTTTTTTTTCCCACTAACTGAAGGGTGTGGCTCATTTGTCTCATGACTGCCCGAGTCAGGGATTGCTTTCTTAGGAATTTAGGGAGCTCTCAAGTCAGGAGAACTAGAGAAGTCTGTGACAATGTTTCACCCAGTGTTTGATTTTGAGATGGAAAGCTTAGATTTATCAGGGTTTATCCACCTTGGGTGTTCTTGGAAACTAGCATAAGATATTCCATGATAACAAAGAGAAGGTCTAGTAAGTTCTTGAGTGTTAGAGGTATTACAGTATAATGTCTTTGAATTAAGTCCTCAGTATGAACAGGAGTATTGAATCAATTAAATGAGCAAAATACACCTTTTTACTTGTTCTAAAGTGCCTACTGTAGAGGGCGGTGAGAGGGCTCTTGAGCTGACTTTCTGAATTCAGATCCCAGTTCTGCCACTTGTGTGGAAGGTACGTGATCTGGGGCCAATTATTTAACTTTTATGACTCAGTCCTCATTTATAGAATGGGAGTAATAATTATTCCTGCTTCATAACATTTTTTTTGTAAGAATTAAAGGAATTAGTACATGAAAAGAGCTCAGACCAGTAGACAGATGCATTACTAGCTTAAAAACATGGACTGTTATGAATATTATTTTTGAAAAACTGCCTTGACTTTCTTTTTCTGTGTCTTAAATTAAAAAAAAAATGTAAACAGTGAATGTCCCCTTCCTTTTTGAAAACATTAAAATGCTCTCCGCTAACATTGTGAGTTGCTCAGGGGAAGACGCAAGAGTTAACTGACTTTGCTGTTGGGAGAGCAAATCTGACAGTGTGTTTGTGACAGTGTCGGATACACGTCTTCATTTTTTTTTTTTCTTTTTTTTTCAACGTGTTTTTTTTTTTTTTTTTTATTTTTTTTTTTGGACAGAGAGAGACAGAGCATGAACGGGGGAGGGGCAGAGAGAGAGGGAGACACAGAATCGGAAACAGGCTCCAGGCTCTGAGCCATCAGCCCCGAGCCCGACGCGGGGCTCGAACTCACGGACCGCGAGATCGTGACCTGGCTGAAGTCGGACGCTTAACCGACTGCGCCACCCAGGCGCCCCATACACGTCTTCATTTTTAACACCCAGTGCTGATACACATGACACACGACTCGTTTGTACACACACAGACAACTATTGAGATTTTGATAAGGATTGCATTAATTGGGAAATAATTGACATCTTGATAAACTTTTAAGTTTTCTAATGTACTCTTCTGTCTATTCAGGCCATCTTGAATTTCTTCCAGTATTATTTTAGAGTTGTATGTATAGAAGTGTGACGCATTTTTGTGAGCTATATTCCTAAGTCCTTGATTTGTTTCATGGTATTTTAAATGGTATCTTTTTTGTTTTCAGATTGCATTTTTACTTATTTGTTCCTGGGATATAGAAGTGAAATGTATTTCCCCCACACTGACTTTGTATTTCTAAATTTTGGTAAACCTAGTTATCTTAATTTTTACCTGAAGATTATTATCCTTAATTTTCTATTGCAGAAACATAGTTTTTAGGAATAATTGTTTATTCCTTATTTTCCAATCCTTCGACATTTTTCTGTGTTTTCTTACTTTATGGTAGAACAGAATTGGCATGGCTGAACACAATTCTCCTATGTGATATCAGAGAAATATTTCAACATTTCATTCTAAGGATGATGTTTGCTACAGGGTTTTGTAAAGATGTTGTATCAAATTGGGGAAGTTCCTTTTATTCTTAATTTACTAGGAGTTTTTATCGTGAATGTGAGTTGAGTTTTATCAAACTTTTCTTCTGCATTCACTAAGATGATGTTTGTTTTGTTTTTTTTTTTTCCTCCTTTATTTTTGTTAATATGGTCTATTATTGTGATTGGCTTTCAAATGTTAAGCCAGTGTTCCACTGTATGGAATAAACCCAACTTCATCATGCTATATAATCTCTCCTTTTGTATTTTGCTGTATTTTATTTACTATTACTTTGCATAGGATTATTGCAGCTGTCATCATTAACGAGATTTGATCTCTAATTTTCTGTTCTTGAAAATTCCTTATGGAGAGAAGATTATTCTAGACTCCTACAAAGCGTTCTCTCTATCATCATCTGGAAGAGTTTGCATACGCCTGGTGTCATTGCTTCCTTTAAGATTTGCTAGAATTTGCTGGGGAAGCATCTGGGCCTGGAGTTTTCTTTTAGGACAGGTTTTCACTGAATATTCGATTTTGGTAAAATAGACGTGTTTGGCCATTCTGTTTCTCCTCACGTCTGTTTTTATAAGTGGTCATTTTCTGGGTTTTCCCCATTTTGTTTAAATTTTCTACTTTTTGGAATAAATTTGTTAATCAAGTCCTCTTATTGGACAAAATCCTATCTTGAATGTCAGTAGGATCTGTAGCTTTGTCCACTGTTTTATGCTTGATATTAATTGCGTTTAACCTTCTTTCTTGGTGGGGGGATTTATCAATTAAGTTAGTCTTTAGAAAGAGCTATCACTGGCCTTTGTTAATCCTACCTGTTAGCCTGCTTTCTTTTTCATTAATTAGTAGTACCCTTATTTTTATTCCTTTCTTCCTTTTATTTTCCTTGGGATGGATTCAGTATTTTTTTTTCTCTTTTCCCGTCTTTCTAATCTTCCTAACATTTAAAGAGCATTTAAAGTTCTACAATTGTCTATACGCACAACTTTAGCTCCAGGCCAGACATTTTGGTGTTGATATTTTCATTATCATTCAGATTTAATAAAAACTTTTTTTTTCTCCCTGTTTTTATTTCTTCTTTGGCCAAGAAGCATATTGCTTAATTTCCAAGTATTTGAAGATTTCCTGGTTATCTTTTTGTTCCTGGTTTCTAGCTTAATTGCTTTATGGTCAGAAAATATTCATTAAGAAAATGGCCTACTTTTGTAAATTTTCCATGTGTTCTTGAAAAGGTTATCTAGGATATTGTTCTGGATATATATTCATTGATTAAATTTGTTGATTGCATTCAATATATATATATTTTAATGTTTTTATTTATTTTTGAGACAGAGAGAGACGGAGCATGAGCAAGGGAGGGGCAGAGAGAAAGGGAGACACAGAATGTGAAGCAAGCAGGCTCCAAGCTCTGAGCTGTCAGCACAGAGCCCGACGCGGGGCTCGAACTCACAGAGTGTGAGATCATGACCTGAGACGAAGTCAGGACGCTTCAGCTTCACCGACTGAGTCACCCAGGCGCCCCACATTCAATCTTTTATATTCTGATTTTCATTTTCAGTTGGGCTTCTTGTATCAATTACTTAGAGATGTATGTCAAAACTTTCCACTGTGGATTTGTCTATTTCTCCTTGTAGCTTGGTCAGTTTTTGCTTTCTGTGTTCCAAAGCTATGTTAATTGGGTTGTACGTATTAAAATTGCTATAGTTTCCTGGTGAATTAGATCATTGATCAGTTGGAAGTGATGTATTTATCTCTAAACAATAAATGAAATTTTGCCTTAGTATCTTATATTAATATGGCCACACCACCTCCCACTTATTGGTTTCTTCATAATATATCCTTTCCTATTATTTTCTGTTTATATTTTAGGTATCTTTCTTGTTTCTGACCATCGCTAGCTTTTCATTATAGCTTGTAGTCCCTTCAAATTTTTTTTTTTTAGTCCCTTCAAATTTAATGTGGTTACTGATATGTTTAGATTCAAATCTGTGGTTTTTAGGGGCGCCTGGGTGACTCAGTTGGTTAAGCATCCAACTTCGGTTCAGGTCATGATCTTACCGTTCGTGGGTTGAGCCCTGCGTGGGGCTCTGTTCTAACAGGTCAGAGCCTGGAGCCTGCTTCGGATTCTGTGGCTCCCTCTCTCTCTCTCTCTCTCTCTCTCTCTCTGCCCCTCCCCCGCTCGTGTTCTGTCCCTCTGTGTCTTAAAAAATAAAATAAAACCTTAAAAAAATAAACAATGGCAAGATGAACGTAGCACAGCTGTGCCAGAGCATGCGAGAAAATGACATCTTTGTGGTTTGTCTACAGCACGTTTAACTGGACGGTCCCATTCCTTTCCTTCCTGGCCTGCCTGATCCTGGCAGTGGCCACCGTCACTTTGTATTTTATTCCACTCCGGTACATCGTTTTAATCTGGGGTAAGTTGGGCATGGTCCTTCTCCTAGCAGTCGATTTCAGGTAAGAATCAGCTACTCATTTGTAAAGTGGGACTATAAACTTTAAGTGTGCTCTTGTTGGCAATTAAACATGAGATTAAGGAAGGCGTTTGGGGAACAAAAAACTTCCAGGACCTCCCTGAAAAGGCCAATTGCGTGAACAGTCAGCACAGATATGTACAGGCCTCCTGCATAATTGCAATCCAATAAAAATGTGATGGTGCATGTGATTTCCCTTTGGGCTTTCGCAGTCATAAATACTCTTGAATAATATATTGCCGTGGCCCGGTTAACTTTGAGGAAACAGTTATTCAAACAGTGAGCAACCACCTGCATCTCGCCCTTTACATTATGTAAAAGTAGATCTGGCCGCTGCCGGGCTGCTTCTGACACTTCCTCTCTCCTGGAGGAAAAATAACCTAAACCCCATACTTAAATCCAGAAGCAGTAGAGAGGAAGGTGGGTAGCTACTCCCTAACCAGTACCTGATGGAAGAGGAAGCTATTATTTAGCAGGGTAAACAGGGTGCCTGTATAAAGTTGAGCTGCTCTACAAAAGCAGAAACAAATTCACAAACTCGAAATAAATGTCACGACTTGATTTACTACACAAGCTAGCAGCTGGACAAAATACAAGCAGCTTTGTGAATATTTGTGTCTGTTGCTGGGTGGGCTCTGCGTTGATAGAAGGAGGGTGCATTACAGTCGGTTAATTGTTGGAGAAGCAATCAACCCTTTTCCGTAAGAGTCTGCCCGTCGTAGTGTTACTTGGCTCCTATGACTACTGCTGAGTTCTCAATCACAGCCACCCCCTTCCAGGGATCCTCAGATGTTAAGATGTTCCGAGAACTTACAAACACAAGTGACTGCATTGAGATGCATTCATCTTTAAGCAAAAGCCGAGACGCTGCAAATGTCAGATAAAAAGCTACAACCTTGCTAAAACCATTAAATGTAGACCTTTTCAAAGAGAACCCACAGGAGAAGAGTCCTGCCGACGAGGAAAGCCAAGTGTAGACGTTCTGAACTAGGAAAAGCCTTTGAAAAAATAGAATAACTCATAAAACTTCAGAGGTGGAATGATTTTAAGGGAGCCTAATCCACTGGTTCTCTGTTTCGTCGAGGAAGTGAAAATCCCGTGTGAAGAAGGATCTCTCTTTTATCGCCAAGCCTGAGAAAAGAAAAAGATATTCTCATTTCCCTCTTTAGGGGTCGGTTTTGAGCCTTGATGACCTTCACTCTTGGGGAAAGTCTTCTAGGCATACTTAGTTTTTGTTTATTTGTTTCTGTGTTTTGCAACAGTGCTAGCACATGGGTCTATGGACCCTTCAAAAGAGAGCGTGGAGCTCTTCAGATCCATTGATCAAGAAGGAACATTTTGTGAAAGTATTTCCCAGCATACCTTCTGTACTAAATGTTATCTATTTAGACCGAACAGTCTCACTCTTTCTTAATTGTTTTCCATTAAGAATGAGTTTCCGAATCCACTCAACTGGCCGCCTTTAAAACGCAGATCTTAAAACTATTGTCTGCCCCTAACCAAAACATGATTCAAAATCACGAGGATTATTTGGCCAATATTCTGTTCATTTTTAAGCTAGTGTGAGTTGAATGCATGGTCAGCTTATCAAAGCCCGTTTCTCATGATTTCCTAATCATTCTAGTGCACGCTTGATTTGCTTTTCTGCATCTTGCCCCCCACAAAGAAGACTATGCTATCTCTCCTCCTGTGATCGTCAGTTTTTGAATTCCAGTCCCTCTTTCTGTTTATCCAGAATTGCTTTGACGTCTGATCTCATCCTCCAAGATCTTGGCAACTCTCCAACACCAAAGTTTGGCATCTAATTAATAAGATATTGCTGTTGTTTTAATTTAGCTTATGGGTGAAATTATTGAATAGAGTGGACTTTATTATGTTCTCCCGAACTGACAGTAACCCTGTGAGCTTCGTCTTTTGCGTCTGGTCCTTTAGTTTTGCATTCTAGATGGGGGCTTATAGTTTATTGATGAGTTCACCATATATGATGTAGTCAAAAGCTTTGACAGTCAACACATGATCTGTTGGCTCATTGAATAAAATCTGCCATGCCATCACGGGATATACGGTACAATTCTATTTTCTTTTCCAAGACAAATTAGTTATTAGGTAACATGGACCCAGGACATTCCTTTAGACATCTCCTATATGACTGTATCCTTGGTAGAGACTTTCTTTTTTTTTTTTTTTTTTATTATTATTTTTTTTTATTTTATTTTTGTTTGGTAGAGACTTTCTCATGTGGAAGATCACTTCATATGTCTTAAATTTCTAGTGTTCCTTTTCACTTTATTAAAGATCAGATTATTTATTATTCTGAGTTATTTATTCATTTCCAGTGAGTCCTAAAAGTGGTAAGATCCTGAGTTTTGGTTTTTTTGTTTTTGTCTTTTTTTGGTCCAATATTTTTAACCCTTTGGAACAAAGCTATTTACCTGTATGTTCTCTATTTCCATATTCTACACACCAAATGATGTTTTTGTAGAACTCATGATGAAGTACGAGAATTACTTAACATACACCTCAGAAAGCAGCCTAATTTCATAATGGCCATAAGCAGTGTTCCTTGACTCACCAACTCCATTGTAAGGTTTTGAAGGGTAGGACACTTTTCTTTCCTCTTTAGCCTATAGCTCCTGGTGGAGCTACATAAAGGTAGTAGATCTTTAACAAGTACTTGACAGATATTTAACGAGTGGAGGAGTCCTGCAAGTTTCATAGCTGTGGTCTACATGAATGGCATTTCTTTTGAGCCCACCACCCACCTCTGTAGTGTGGGAGTGTAGATTTGGAAAATTATGTGAGAAGCGGTTTGAGAGGGATAGATGAAATTGTCTTAAGGAAACCAGATGTACTGAAGTTTGATCACTTATTTGATGTATTTCTAGGAGGCAAGGCCTTTCTTAGGGTTAGATCCCAAGCGGGTTTTCTGTCCCCTTGGAAAGGTGTTTCATATGCCTTCCATTCTATTTACATCATAGATACTGGAGCTCTGCTCTCAGGTACTTCTGTTGTTCCAAGGTGGAAATGAACTCCCCAAGCTAGATTTTGAGCTTCTGGAAAGAAGGACCCATGACTTATTCAACATTATATCTCCATTTGTCATACCACAATGTCTTTTCGGTGGCAAGCACTTAGCGTTGGATACATGTGCAAGCAAGGACCCTCAGCCCCATCTCACCCACTCCTATTGATGTATCGAGGTCAGGGTACATCCCAAGTCACTCATAAAAGTACCTGAAAAATAGTGTTATAATTCTCTTTCAGGTACTTATTCACCTGTGGCCATATGTGCAAAGCAGTCATCCAATTTTTCCAGCTTTCTTCAAGAGACTTTTTTATTTTATTTTATTTTATTTTATTTATTTATTTATTTATTTGTTTGTTTATTTATTTATTTTTGCTGGGGATCTCATTACACTCTAATGATCTGTTCAGTTTGTGATCCGGGACCATTAAATGATAGTGTCTTTGCCAAATGTTATCCCTCAGTATTTGGATTCCCACGGTTTTCATGTGCTACAAAATTAACATTCACAGCAGAGGTGCCCTTTGCCTCTGTGTATTCAGGTGAAAAAATCGAAAGGCGTGTCTATCATGCTACCGAAAAAGGTACAGCTTCCAAATTTGGCTGTGTGCGATCACATGCCTAACAGTGTAACGATTCTTCTCCTATCCGCGCCCTTTGGTTTGGGACTTGTTGACATCTGGAGTGATGATGGTAGCCCCCTTCATTGTTACAGAATTTCAGAGTGCAGAACCTTCTAGCTTACGTTGTGCAACGTAATTCTGCCATCAACCTACGACACTATATATATAATAGGGCAGGTCTTTTTTTGCTCAGATTTTAACGTAAGCAGTCTGAGGCACAGAAAGGTTAAGTGGTTTGCCTGAAACCACACAGCTACCACACGGGGATGCCAGAGCTGGGGCCAAGATATGGCTGTTCCATAACGCTTGTTCCTTGCTTCATCGTCCCTTAATGATGACCCAGGAGTACCTGATCCCCTGTTGACACTTGGGCTCATGCAGTAAGTAATGACGCCATTTGATGGCTTGACAAAATGAGGTGGGCTTTTGCAGCACGCCATCTGAGCGCCTTGTAATTTTTATCCTAAGTTGTTCAAACAGACAGTCTCAGTGCATTATGGGGCTCCTTCTGCCCTTGGTGCATTTGAGCTACTGTGCAGGTTTATAATCTTCTCAGTGACTAAGAATGCAGTGTTTTGATCGGCTGCGATATTATCCCTGCCTTGCTGCTCATTGTAAAGGCTCCAGATGCGCACACTATATATAATTAACAATAGAAGATATATCTTTTCTCAATACGTCTTTGTCTCCCTTCGTCATTTCGCCTTGTCTGTTTTCTCTTGCCAAAAAAGCCCATGCTACAATTAAGTGTCTTTAGAATAACACAGCGAGAGTATTTCAGTTTAAAGGAACTCGGGGCAATTTCAGCTAGAAACACGAAGCTTGCCGTGGGGGGAGAGGGAAGAAAGGCCTAGTGCAGCTTGGACTTGAGAGAAAAAGGGTCGTCCGCAAGAAGCCTTCCCCAGCCCTACGGCCAAGCCACCAGTTACTCATGAACAGTGGCTGGCTCCCATTTGCAAAGCAGATGTAAATCTGACCCTCTAAGGAAATGACGGGAGGTTGCATTGTGTCAGCTATCATGTCACTCAGGAAGCTCAGTCGTTAGAGGAAAGCAAAATACTATCTAATGAAGAAAAACATCAAAGCTTTTGTGTGTCGGGGCCGGCTTTGGGGTAAAAGGGCTCATCGAAGGTGAGAATTCTTTCAGCATCATTGGGATGGCCAGGTAATAAACAAACACCGATCTTTGCTAATAAACAAGCACTGATCTTTGCTAATAAACAAACACTCCGTGGCAAGGCTTCTGAAGCCCACCACCCGGTCTCTGGGCTTTTGAAAACTCAGCATGGAAAACAGTTGACCTTTGGTGAAAAGACAGTGGCTGATGCGCTCTTAGCAGCAGCTCCGAGGAGCAGAGTAGGAAACAGAGGTGGCTGACAGGTACATCCCCTCTGGAAAGAAAACCGCAGGCGGAACGTCCCCCCGGACATGCCCACGCACCCAAGGTGCACCCTTCAAAGACACCTTCCACGTTGAACCTCCTCTAATTACTACGGTCCCCGTCCTGAATTAGCAGGGACTCACTCCATGGACGAGACAAACCCACGCACCGCCTTGCGGTCCGTAAATTCAGTTAGCAACCTGAGCAGGCTAATTTCCAGTGATAGCTTTTCACGGTTTCCTGTAGTATCAAAGTTACAGTCAACATGTCAGGTTCTGTTCTGCCGGGAGAGGAGAGAAACCGGTGCAAATGAGTTGGGGTAGGGGAGAGAGATTTCTGCAGTTTCTTTTTAACAACAAAAAAGGCAACGCCCGCCCCTCCACCTCCCACTGCTACGTGTGGTCCAGAGCCCCCAAGCAGAGACTTGTTTGGGCTAATAAAGGCCTTTTCCCATCTGGGACATTGGTTTTCTTAGCAGAGGAGGCTGTTAATCAGCGTAGTCCAAAAAAGCCGATGAGCTACTCTGTTTTCATGTGTGTTTCTGCCGCCCTGCTGCTGGGATTGTAATGGGATTTTCACAGTCCAAGAAGGCAGAGCTCCTGTCCGACAGAACCCCCACCCCCACCCCCAGCCCACCCTGCCTTCGTTCAAGACCAGGCATTTGTGAATGATTTCACATGACAGCAACGTGTGCATGACATGAGGTCTAGTAATTGTTTTACACTAATTTTGACTTGTGAATGCCCCTCCCCCCCAGTCAGGAGAGTTTTTAAAGAGACAGACAGACAGATGGATACGCAGACAGACAAAGAGATCTCCTGGTGTTTCTATTTTTCAGGCATAAATAAATTTACTAAGAAGCTTCGAAATCCCTATGCCATCGACAATAATGAGCTGTTAGACTTCCTCTCCAGGGTACCGTCTGATGTTCAAAAGGTACGTAATGAACGGCCGCCACCAGCAGGGACCCCAACCCTGAAGTCTGGCCAGCCCCAGAGTCAGAGGGGCGCAGGGCTGTGCTTGGGTAATTGAGATAACGAATCAGAAAATCCTTAAAGCGGCCTGGCTTGCAGGGAGGTGGCAAGGAAACCTTTGTCCCGAGCCTGAGACGATTACGGAAAATTACCCGGAAAAAGAGCTACTTAAGAATGATCTGGAACCCCTACTGTGTGGGTATAGTGTGATGGTGTTCGTCCGTTTTATGATCGCTTGCCTCCCCCAGGAGGATGAGATGAGCTCAGTGAATGGGAGATCCCAAGCTGGGGGGATTCTTATTTTCCCCCTCTGCCGCGTGGCAGGCATTTTAGGGGAAGTAGTGGACAGGAGGATTATTATTATTTGTTTTAATTCTTCCTTGCCCTTATCACCTCCTAGGCTTCCCTTCTATCTTTTCCCCTCTGAAGACTGAGGGATGCTGAGGGCAAAGCCCCCACTCACTCTCACACATAAAGGCAGAGATAGCGTGACATAATTGGAGATCGATCGGAAGTATTATTCACAGGTACTTGGTCCAGCGGCATCTGGTTTCTGTGGATGCGTTGAGATTAAACGAGGCGACAATACCAGAAAGTCTCATAGAATAGCTGATCTAGGCCCCTGCAGATCAGGCTGCCATAAATCCAGAGGAAGGAGGGTAGGCAATGATTTCTCTAAAGCAGCATCGAGATCACAGAATAGGTAGATGGGGAGACCGTGGTAGGATGTACCAACGCGATGATCAAAGCCACAGCCCTTTATTGTCTGAGAGCATCCCAATCAAGTATGGATTTTCGTCTCTGGGCCAAGGTCGCATCGCTGGTTCCCAGGTCACTTTGTGCGGATTACAGTGACTTGGAGGTGAAAAGCCCTAGAATTTCTTTCCCCTTCATTCTGAGTTCTAGAGATTAAAACAGACTCCATGATGCTATTTCTCTTTCACCTCCATTTTATAATATAATTAGCTAATATTAATATGAAGTTACTCGTTAACATTTGCATTACATGATCATAAAACAGTAACCCGGCCCTGTTTGTTTGGCATTGAAGATTGGAGGGTATGTCACCCCTGCTCCCCTGGGGGACCCTCACAAAACACTCTAAGGAAAGGGTGCTTTTTTCATGTATCTGCTCTCAGCAAAGTGTAGCTCAACGTATGTGATGGGACACGATGTCCTTGGGGAGTTTGGCACAAATGCTAAAAAACAGTGAGCACATGTGGTCTGTAATACAATACTTCAAATAAAGCCATTCTGCCGTCAGCCAATCAAAACCCACACACCAAAGCAATGCGATCGCAATGTGCAGTCAACTTCAGTCGCAACATGAGGTTGTCCCTGCCTCCTTGAAGAAAGGAAATCACCATCGAGCACGCCCCACCGCAAGGATTGTCTCCACACGGTCGACACGGCAGCCCCTCAGAGCGGCCATCCAGTTGGGAGGTGACGTGATTACAGAGGGACACAGCAAAAGAGCGTTCGAGGAAGATCTACAATATGCTAGTGAGATCCTCCCATGTGTCACCAAGAGTGCTTTCTAATAACGCAATAGACAGTTTGCCGCTGGGGACACCCTGAGCACTCATGTTTATCACAGATGGTTTAGCCATTACATCGCGAAGGAAATTCATTTTTAAGAGAAATGTATTTAACTTTGTGGCCAGTATCCATTTCAACATTTTGGGGGGGGGGGGTGGGGCAGTCTCTCTGGCCAAATAAATGTATATAATTTGCAGAGACATTTTTTTTTCCTCCAAGATTGTAGATAGTTTGAAATGACTCTTTCTTAGTAAGTCGCTGCATCGTGTACTAAGGGAAACACTCGCAAGAGGCAGTTACTAAGCGTACTTGTGGCTGAAAACAGGCACGCGCAAAACTGGAATTATCTGGCCGCGCCGAGAGCAGGTAGAAACCCAGGCATCTCATTAGCAAAATCTGCTTTTAATATTTTGGTTTCAAGAAATGATGCATGACTTCTCAAATCCTTCCTGCAATTAATCCCTTCATGTTCCTGTGTTTAGAAAATGATTCATTACCTTTGAACCTTCCTTCCTTTGCCTCGGCTTGTCCTTGGGGAGCCATTAACACGCACTGTGGCGAGCTAGGGTTACCTAACCGCCGGCGTCCCGTCTGTTTGTTTTCACAGGTGCAGTACGCTGAACTGAGACCCTGCAGCAGCCACAGCCCCCTTCGGAAGAAGCGCAGTGGCGTCTAGGACACGCGCCAACTCTGGCCACCGGCACCCGAATCCCTGTGGGGTCGATGAGACCCGTGATGTCTCTGTTCCACCGGTGGTCCCCACGGTGTCTTTCCAAAACACGTGGCTGTGTGGAGCCCTCCCCCTCTTCTCCCCGCTTCTCCACGGGCACCGATTGCACACGTGTGCGCACGTCCACGCACACGGGTGTGCCGGTTGTGTAGCAGGTTGGCCCCTCGCAAGGAAACAAGCCAGAGACCGTGAAGGACTGATGTCCCTTCTCCCGTAGAAGGTAACGTAAGGCTGTCAGGGGTCTCAACAGCCTCCTTGAAAACAGCCGGGAGTCCACCTGGATTCAAGAGGGACTTTGAACTTGTTATGGTGCCTCCACCAGATTCTCCTGAAGATCCGGTCATGTCCACTCCCGTCTGCACACTGCTTTCAGATTGTTGTTCATGTGAGGCAGTCGGTTTCTCCGAGTTAGCAAATCCTTGGTAGCTATCGTCTCCCTACATAGTGTATATCATGCATAGATTTTTAAATAATGACCCAGATCAGCTCAAGTCTTTGGGAGTCTTTCGGCCGGGATTACTGAAGACCCGTATGGAAAATTGTGGTCAACACCTCGGCGCTGGATGCCAGCCTCTTTCACCGTCCATTGCTGGCGATGGAAGGCCCCGGAAAGTCCAAAGGGACCACTCGTCCAAAAAGCGAAGGTTTCAGGGAGAGTATTTGGTTGCCTTAAAAACGCCATTTCTTCTGACTTGACTTCGCTTTATTTCCAAAATAAAATGTCAATATTATAGGTGCAGGACGTGGGGGATGAATGAATGAATTCTGAAAGTATTTAGAAAGAAAGATAAAGGCTGGGGAGCAAGGGACTAACGAATGAAGGTGGACCGCTCACCTGATTGTCGTAATCCCTTCATTCGCCCGCATTTGGGGGCAGAAAGTAAAAATAAGGCAGCAGTCCAAAATGATCTTTCGTTCCTGAGCAAAATAATCTGCATGTAATACATCTATATCTCAGAACCGTGTTCCTAGAAAAGCATCATCCCCAAATCCTGCATAGTATCTGATGCCTACAGCCCCCATTTCATAGTACCCCCCAGGTAAAAACCCCGATTTTGTGCATATATAAAATGTATGCCAATATCTTTATGTTCAAATGATATTTAAGTTGTAAAGACCGTATTTAGTTGACACATACTTTATGCAGTTTTATATATATATATATATATAATATATATATATGTATTGTAAAGAAAAGTCGAGGTAAAAAAAAACAGATTTAATAGTGAGTTTTGCTATTTTTTTTCCTCTCTGGGTTGTAATTTAATAATCTTCAAACAAAATGTTTATGAAAAATGCCAAAGATTCTAAACCTTATCATCCCGTGTCTGTTTTTCTTCATATTATATCTTCCTGGGTTTCTTTCTGGCTGAGCCAGATTTCTGCATGATTTGATTTGCTTCAAGTTAATGAAGCTGGTTGGAAAAGAGCCTTGCAGAAATTATAAAAGCTCCAGTAAATCTCTTAGTTGTACATACAATAGATATCCAAGAACCTCTTTTGTGAAACCAGTTACTCAATCTTCTGTGTAAACAATGCCTCATTGTCTCACTCCCGACTATCATGTAGTTTATCATAGTCTGTCATTTTGTAACGACCTAAGTCAGACATTTTTAAACAGACACGTGAGATCTGATCAGTCATTCGAATGAAAACTTTCAGCAAGCAAAATAACCCCTGATTTATTTTTAAAAGTAGCACTGATACTTTATTGTTGTTCTTTGGCTATGCAATTTCAAAATGAAAAAATTTGTCCAACAAGGAGCCATCATTAGCGACTCTTCCTCCCTCTGTCACCCAACAGGAATTCGGAGCGTTAAGTTTAGGATGCAGACAGCAGCTGGGATTCGGGACCGAATCAACCTTTAATAAACTGTCAATGGAAAACAAGTGTTAATTGATTAAGGAGGCTTTGAAGGTTAAAAATGTTAGTTGTAAGGGGAATGTGAAGACTTGTACAAGTAATCAAACTCAGATGAAAGATTCCAGAATGCTTTATATAAAATTTATGGATTGTGGATTCACAGTACGATCATTAAAGATAATTTAGTAGGAATGTTGAAGTTTAGCCAAGCTCTCCTGGTTCTCTTCTCAGACCTCACGCTCCTGTTTCCAGCCCTGCCTGGGTGTCTTAAAGGCGTCTATCCCTCGGTGGGTCAGAAACTCCATTATTGCTCCCTTGATGTGTTCAGGACTCCTAATGTCATAGTCTCCCTCTGGTTTCCTTATTTCCCTTACTGGCACTGGCATCTTCTGGGCTGGGAGACTCTGGGCATCCCATTTGTTGTTACTTATTTCCCACACTTCCCAACCCACAAATTTGTAGATCCAGTGTTGACTGTCGTGTTATCTTGTCCATTTCTGATCACCACCCCCTAAGCCAAGGCCTCCATAACCTCTCACGAGTCACGGCGATTACATTATGCCAGATTAAACCTCATTCCGACTGTTCTTTTCACCAGGAATACTTTCAGGTTTCTGAAATTCTACCTTCCTTTATGTTTTTTTAAATGCTTGTTGGGGCGCCTGGGTGGCTCAGTCGGTTAAGCGGCCGACTTCGGCTCAGGTCATGATCTCATGGTCCGTGAGCTCGAGCCCCGCGTCGGGCTCTGTGCTGACAGCTCAGAGCCTGGAGCCTGTTTTGGATTCTGTGTCTCCCTCTCTCTGACCCTCCCCCATTCATGCTCTGTCTCTCTCTGTCTCAAAAATAAATAAACATAAAAAAAAATAAATAAATGCTTGTTTATTTTGAAAGAGAGAGAGCATGAGCGGGGAAGAAGGGGGGGGTGCGGGGCGGGTAGAGAATCCCAAGCAGGCTTTATGCTGAGTGAGGAGCCCGACACAAGGCCTGATGTCACAACTGTGAGATTGTGACCTGAATCGTTATCAAGAGTCACCAACTGAGACACCCAGGTGCCTGAATTCTACCCTTCTTTAAAAGTTTCAAAAGTTTCCTGCCCCAAATAGACTTTCTCTAACATCCTTGTCTGAATTACATTCCACCCTTCTCTCTTGTTCCCTCACATCTTCTATATCTTTCTGGCATTTGCCGTATTCTGCTATAGCTCGTAGTTACCAGAAGCTTTTGACCCCAGCTGTCCTCTACTGATGGAGCACCCTGTCTGGCACCTGATAGACACTCAGGAAATACATGATTAATTGATTGAGTCATAGTCGACTTTTCTTCTCTGCCCTTTTCATGTATACAGAGGGCTGATCTGGGTAGATTAGCATGGTCGATCAGAGGAAGTAATTTCTTGCATTTAGTGCATAGCTTATATTGTGTGATACTATTTATAAGCTCTGGCATGCCCACTATAAACATTTAAATGATGTCTTATATTGGTGAAGTCATTGTTACCTATATATCACAGGAAAATATATTTGTGCATGGTAAAAAAAAAACAAAAAACAAAAACAAAAACAAAAAAACCCTAAAACTTTCTGATTCTTTTTCTTGTCATTTATCACTTGATGAACATATACTGAATACTGATGACCTACCTGAACAAAACAGACTACATTCCCTTGGTAAAAGCAGACGTGAAACAGATACCTTTCAAAAGGGGCATGATGTTTGTAGATTCAAGTTTGAAAAAGAATATTCTGACTGCAGTGGGTAGACTAGCAATTATGAATGTTCACGGAAGAGCCAACTTGAAGTCTTGATAAATTGATGGGCCTTCAAATAGTAGCAATGGGAAAAAATACAAGTGAAATTCTGAAATTGTGAGATGGGTAGGAGAAAAAAAGAGCAGAGCTTATCAGTTGCTTGACTATGGGGTGAGGGAAAGAGTAGAACAAAGATGGCACTCAGTCTAGTCATTGTTGGGTCTGGGAAGGTGGTATGTGCTAAGAGAGAATTATAGGAGCAGCCATGAAAGGAACAGCATGAACCTGGTTTTAGAAGATGTTGAATTTGAGGTAGCTGATGAGGCTTCAAAAGGGGATCTCAAAGAGGTGCCAATATATATGCCTAAGGGACAACATTCATAGAAATGATTGAAGTCCCATGCTTTGAGAAATTGACTCAATACTCAAAAAAGTCCTATAAAGATGAGTCCCCCTAGCCTAAATAGAAATATTAAACAAAAGAAAAAGCAGTAAGCATACACTGTCATAGAATTCAACTGGTGGAGTGTATTCCAAGAAAACAGGTGTTTTTTAGTCTATAGTGCTAACTACCACTGAGATCACATCAGTTGAGGACAGAAGAATGACTTTTAGTTAACAGCATGGCAACTTGTGGTGATGAGTCATTTCAGTCGAATGGTAAAAAAAAGGAAACCAGATTTGGGTTGAGAAATGAGTAGCCCTAGGAAAATGGAGGCAGCCTGGCGGTAACCCTTGAAAAATTCCACTAGAAGGAGAGCAGGGAGAGAGCACAGCGACTCATAATGAAAGAAGGGGCATGGAATTGTTAAGGAAAAAAAATTAGATGTCATGAACTCAGTGTATACCTATTGACAACAAAAAACTCTTCATTAGTCCAAGATGGGATCATCTGTATCATTTAAATTTTTTTTTTCAACGTTTTATTTATTTTTGGGAGAGAGACAGAGCATGAACGGGGGAGGGGCAGAGAGAGAGGGAGACACAGAATCGGAAACAGGCTCCGAGCCATCAGCCCAGAGCCTGACGCGGGGCTCGAACCCACGGACCGCGAGATCGTGACCTGGCTGAAGTCGGACGCTTAACCGACTGCGCCACCCAGGCGCCCCGATCTGTATCATTTAAAACTACCCTTGTCAAAACCCACCTCTCTTTTGTGTAGTATTAGTCTAACTTTTATGGTAGTAAAATGGTTAGGAAATCAAAATAGAGTGTCCTCTGAAAATGTTACGAGTACCAATGGATAATTGGATCAATGTTGACAGGTTCCATTTAAAGAATGGCATAAAGCACATTGCTTCTTTATGGAGGTCTCTTTGTATAAAGCCTGCTCTTCCGGCATTTTAATGTGGTGATTTACACGGGGAGAATGGATAGTTAGCATTTTATACCATTTATTCATTGCCAGGTACTTCCTATATGCTTTAGATGTAATAAATCATGTAATTAACAACAAAAACAGTGTTATGAAATTCCTTTAAATACTTATGGAAAGAATAATCTCATGCAAACTCTCCCAGAAAATAGTAAAAAAAATAAAAAAATAAAAAAGTAACACTTTTCTACATATTTTATGAAGCCAATATAATCCTCACTCCAATATCCAGCAAGGTGACACAAGGATAGAAAATGACTGACCAGAATCCCTTATGAATATAAATACAAAATTATGAAAGATGTGTAAGCTTCTACATTGAAAACATGATTGAGAGAAAGAAGATAAATACATGTAGGGCTTCGCGCATTAGAAGATTCAGTATATTAAGATGTCAAGAGATTAAATGTAAGCCCAATAAAAATCATAACTTTTGCAGAAATTAATCAGCTGATTCTATAATTACATGGAAATGCAACAATCCAAGAATAGTCAAAGCAATCTTGCAGATGATTAACACTGGCAGCTTACAAAATGTATTATAAAGTTATTGTAACTAGACAATGTGCTATAGGCACAGGTGTAGACAAATAGATTAAAGAAGTAGAAAAGATCAGGACACCCACACATATTTGGTTAACCTCTCACCCAAGTTATGTCAAAGGTAACGTATTTTCGGTGTGGGAACAGCCTGCAGTGTAGGGAAAAAACCTTTTTGAAAAATGACACTGGGTCACTTTAGTATCCACATGGATAAAATAAATATTGACTCCTGCTTTATTCTCACGAAAATCAATCCTGCATGAATTGCAAATCCTAAAAGCAGAAGGCAAAATAGATTTCAGACATAGAGATATGAAAACGTTTTCATGTCTATGTGAAAAGCAAAGATGTCTTAAATGGAAAACAAAAGGCTAATCATAATGAGAAAATACTGATACATTGGAGATCATTAAAATTAACTTTTTCCTCTAGAAGTATGGTTAAGAGAGTAAAAGGATTAAGCCACAGAGTGAAAGGCAATCCATAATCTCTATATATAATCTGGCAAAGAATTCTATCCAGAATACAAACAGATTTTCCACAGTGACAAGGCTGAAAACACAATACAAAAATGGGCAAAAGACTTGAACAGTCACTTCACCAAAGAGCCTATGCAAATGGCCACTAAACATATAAAAAGGTGCTCGACATCAGTAGTCATCAGGCAAATGCAAATTGGAACCTCTGGAAAATGATATTACACATAACCAAAATGGCTAACATGAAAAGTCAAGTGTTTTTAAGGATATGGAAAAACAAATTCCTATATACTGCTGGTGAGTGAGAACATAAATTGGTAAAAGCAATTTGGAAAAGAAGTATCTATTAATGTTAACCATATGCATGCCCTATGACCCTTCCCCCAGTGTCACTCTTAAGTATATAACCAACAGAGGTGTGCATGCATTGGATAAAAGATGGGCCCGAGACTATTTACAGCAGCACTCCTTGCATAATTCCAAAAACAGAAACAGTATATATTCATCAATACCTGGGACAATCAATTGCTTGTGACTCTACAATGAAATACCATACAGAAATGAAATGAAAAACGAATGTTGCATGCAACAACATAGGTACCTTTCACAAATAAGGCTCAACAAAAGAAACAAGACACAGCACAAATAAGTGCCATGAAAGATTTCATTTGTGTAGAGTTCAAAAACAGGAAAATACAAGCCATGGTGTTAAAACTCAGAAGGCTGGGGGTGTAGTGGGTAAAAGGAGCCATAAGTGGAATTCTTGGGTCCTGCCATTTTGGTCTGGATTCTTGTTACGTGAACCTGTTAACTTTGTGAAATTCATTGAGCTGTAAACTTATGACTTGTGTAATTGTCTGCATGTTTACTAAGAGGAAAGAAAAACTATGAAGCATGACAATTTTATTCCTCATTTACCATTAAAGAAACTGAAGCTGATCATGGTTAGTATTTTCAACATGAAACAAGAGCACCAATCCAAATAAACATTTTAAGTTGTGGGGACTCATTTTAAACAAACCCAAAGCAGACAGTTCCTCCATAATCTCAT